TGGCTGATGCAATGGCTCAAAGCCTGGGAGGCTTCCACAGCGTTGGTGGGAAAAAACATCTTCTTTGGGAATAAACTCGCTTACCCCTCCCCCAACACGTACTGGATTTGGAACAGTGAGAAGGAAGACTGGCTCTCTTCTGCCAAGAGCTGGCCCCCCTCCCTCTGCCTTCCCATTGTATCCAGGGGCTCTAGTTGGCGACGGCAAGAGGCTCCCTTGCTCCCTTGTCATTAAAATGCAAAGAGAAGCAGGGCTGCTCGCTGGCGGGAGGCCAGGGAGGGCTGCCCGGCCACCTAGTCCTCCTGCAGGCTTCATTTTAGACAGGTTGTCCATCAGTTTCCTTCTCTTGGGGTCTGGTGGATTCTAGGGGAGTCCTGGATTTTGTGGACCCGGTGCTGGGGGGTTGCTCTGGGAGCTTTCAGTCGGGTGGGGGGAGGGGACTGGGATTCAGAATGCAGGGAGAGTGAGCCCAGGGCTCCCAAGCTCCTCAAATGGCTGCGAGGCCAGTCAGAAGTCTGTTTGGCAGGCCGGGGCTGGCCTCATTTTTTAGCTTTAAGCAGAGCTGGGGAACCCTGACGCATAGTAAGGAGTAAACAACACCCCCCCCTCCCCTTTCAAAGGAGACAGCAGGCAGCCAGGACTGTGCTGTCCTGGGACTGGGCAGCAGTGTGGTCCCACCGCGGCTAAGCCAAGAAATCGGGCTGCAGGGCATCTAGAACAGCTACCAATGCCACCCCGGAGTCACACAAGAAGCTTCGGTGTAAGCCGGCCCTGGGTTGGGTGCTTGCACTGATTCTCCTCGAGAGCCTTCCCAGGGGCTGAGGAACACAGGCATATTTCTGCTGCTGGCACAGAGGGCCTTCCCAAACAGTAGCTAGACTAAGATTTATTTATTTACTTAATATTAACATTTTAAAAGATTTCATTTACCTCAGCAACATGGAAGACAATTGAGGGCACTGTTTAAAACACTTAAGATCCAGAGATGGTCAGGGCAGGAAATATCCCAATATCACCTCCATTCCTGACGGGGAATGAAGGATTGGTGCCAGGCCTCCAACCTTGGCCAGGCTCTGCCATTAAGCTGAGACAACCTAGAGGTAAGACAGCCTCAGCCTCATCCCCATCGGGGAGGTGGGGGGCAGGCAGCCTTACCTGCTCACAACTAAGAAAGAGCTAGATTGTACTGAGGTTTGGCTCCTGATGAGTCATCAAGAAGGTCAGTTGGTTCTTTCTTCAGCAGGTGGCTTAGCACCTTTCTGGAGAAGACAGAGTAGTAGTCTGGGGCTAGGGGGCTGGAGAGTAAGGGCCAACATCCAACAAAGATTTCCTCCCTTGTGGTAACATGCTGTCCCCCCTTTGTTTTTTTCCAACAGCAAGAACCCTGAAATCCAGAGGAGTCATTAAAGAAACTCCTTCTGGCTGCAACCTGAAAGCATCTCCGAAGCCAGACAGGGGCAGAGATGATAAGTCCAACTTCAGTGGGCTTCTTCTTCAATAGGGGAGCAGCCGGAGAAGAAGCTGGTATTGCTGGCCAGAGCTCGTTTCTTTTTCTTCCCTGGAGCTTTATTTTCTTGGGATTCTGTTGCTCCGTGTTTCAATTCTGTGAGGCCAAGGGAGGAGGCAGCTGGGTTTGTCTTCTTTAACAGCACCTGCTCCACATCACACATCTCTTTCAGGATCTAGGAAGGGCAGAGACAGGTATGAAGAGATCTTGGGTCGGGGCAGAGGTTCTGCCCAGCCTTGCCGCTACAAATGCTCAGCACGTTGTAGTATGAGGTATCCCCCAAGATTGGTCTCTTGGAAAAAAAAAAAAAAAAGACTCTGGCCTATGCCTGATTCCCACCTCCCAGCAAGCTGATTATACCTCTACCCCCTTTCCTCCCACCGCACTCTGTCACAGCTAATGCAGAGATGAATGCTAAGACAGTCGGAAATGCCGGTCTTTAGCCCACCTACCTTGCTGTTGGGAGTGGCACAGACAGGGTTAAAGAAGCTCAATCCTGGGGTAACCTCTGTGGGATCCTCCAGTTTGAAAGAGCCTTCGGAATCCTGGGTCCGCTCAACAGTGCCCAGGCCATCCTGAGAATCAGACAGGCATATTAGAAGTTCAGCTACGGAGGTTACAAAAATCAGTCTGCTCCCCTTTCACCAGTGAGGTACCAGCTCTGAGGCCCTCATCGGTCAGTCGAAGTAAGTCTCAGGGAGACCCTGCTTGCGGTTTCTTGCCGTTGCAATGCTTGACGGCAGCCTCCGAAGGCAAAGGACCGGGTAGGGGAGCGGCTGAGGGGACATCACAAAGCAGCGTTTAAAACAAGGCCAAGCCGTGGTCATTTCTTTGATTCGTCTTTCGTCCTCTGTAATCTGCACTATCCTTTTTAGCATGTCTACAGGGTGTTGTCTGTATCAGTCTTCCTTTCAGAGAAGGGAACTCAAGGCCAAGAGTGAAAAGTTACTTAGGTAACAGGGCGACTCTGTGGTAGAGCTTGGATTAGAATTATAGCCTGTTGTCATGGCAACAGAAGTGGACTGAGAGTCAGGAAGCCCGAGGTCTAATCTTAGCTGTCATGCCCAGCTGGGTAATATTCGGTGAGTCACTTAAGCCTATCTCTGTGTCTCACTTTCCTTCCCCATATAATGGGAGCATGGGCCTAAATACGTGGTTTGACAACTGACATCCTCAGAGGAAGCCCAGTATAGAAAAAACAAGTAGAGAGCAAGTTGCTCTGATCGACACGGGGTTGAACCGAGCCAGGCCATGGTCGTCTGTTCAAGAAGCACGTCCACGAAGCCACCGAAGGACTCCGGAACCTAAACTGGAAGAACCACGGGGAGAGAGAATCCTTAAGGTCCCTGCTACTTCCACGATTCTCAGCCTGACCCCCAACTTGCCACGTTAGTCCTCTAATGACTACCTGCCTCGGAAGTCATTTTAATGGAAGACCCAGGGCAGAACTGCTCATGTGCAGATGTTCAAGAAACGCACGGTGGAGGATCATTATACCAAGCTTGCTAGAGTTGTAGATCACCGAGAGAGCTAGAGGAACAAGCTTCTGCCATGGGCACAGGGAGGTGTAAGGCAGTCTGTTTCCCCGAGTTTGCTCTTCCCGGGAGCAATATAAGGAGGGCAGCTACAATTAACTTGGTCCACAACGGTGACTATTGGAAAGACCAAGCTCCTGTGGGTCTTTTCCTAGAGCCATGGGGTAGTTGGTTCCCATGGAGAGGGTCTAAGCAACTAATGTCTCAAGATGTCAGAAGGATTAAGTTCCTTCCTGGAAGCCGCCACGTGGCCCTTAGAGTTCCAGCTAAGCCTCTGGACTAGTTTGGTCCTGCATGTCTATGTGCCTGTAGTTGCCTGCTTCCCTGTTCTTTGTTCCGGCCTCAGAAACTGTACCCAAACTTCACAGCCAAGGCTGGGCATGGGGAGCTGCATATCTGGAAGTCTCCCGCGAAGGGCTGTGGGTTTCTGAAGGGGCTACGTCGACAAGGCTAGCAGAGAGCAAGAAGGACCGAGAAGTGAAATGGCTCTGGTTGCAGAGGGCGCGAGAAGGGTCGGGGGAGCTGTGCAGGAGACGCCAGGCTTTAGGGTGGCGGGAACCGGGGCGGGGAGGCCCGAAGGGATGGCGAGGGCCAACAGAGCCGGTCCTACCTTGTCTTGCGGGCGGTTCCTGCACTTTGTGGGGTCACAGCTGCAGTCCACGCCACAGTCTGACTTATGTCTCCTGCACCCGCACTGCTTATTCCCACACCAGCCCTTGCAGGAACACTGCAAAACCAGGTTTGGAGAAACACGTCACTGAAAGGCCGAGAAGACCAGCGTAAAGTGCCTCCCCTTCATTTGCAAGCCTTTTTAGAAGACGTGGAAAGCGGAAAATGGAAACGGAAACTTGGCCAAGCTTCTTTCTCCTCGGTCCCTTCTTCTTTAGGGAAACAGTGATCCCCAGAACCACGAGAGGTTGCCTAACCACATGGCATGCTAGACAAATCCATTTTCTTGTTTGGATTGTATACTTGAAAGACAGCTTGGAGGGATACCAGAATAATGCAGGGTAACTGGCAAAGCCTCTCATGATGATTTTTTTTTAAAGATTTTATTTATTTATTTGAGAGAGAGTGAGTGAGAAAGAGAGCATGAGCAGGGGAAGAGCAGAGGGAGGAGCGGAGGCAGAGGGAGAGGCAGACGCCTCTGCTGAGCAGGAAGCCCGATGTGGACCTCCATCCTGGGACTCTGGGATCATGACCTGAGCTGAAGGCAGACACTTAACGACTGAGCCAACCAGGTGCCCTCACGATGATTTATGGTCAAAGCGACGAACTGCAAGTTGGACGGTAGTAAGGTCATAGGTGTGTATAAGGGCTGAGTATACTTGCTTGATATCTTTAGTTCTACCCAGCGGTAGTTTCACCCAACTCACATTTCTGCACTTTGTTCAGCGTCAGCCTGGGCTACGTCCTCAGCAGTTTAATCATTTGACATTTTAATAAATCACCGAGGATATGAAATAAAATCATTTACATTTGTATAGCACTTTACAATTTCCAGAGTCCTTTCATATATATTAATACCAAATCTCATTTGATTCTCATAACCAGTCTACAGGGTAGGCATGTTTATTGGCTGTTAACAACGGCACAAAACTGGAAGAATGATTAATAAGTAAGATAACAGAATCACAATTCAAAAATATTTTGACAGGCTGGAATTCTGGGCTGCAAGTCGAAGGAGAAGTTCTAACAAGGATAAACTGAAGTCTGGCATCTGGGTTCTCCCCACATCAGCCATATAAATATAATATGGGGGGCGAGCTGGCTTAAAAGTACTTGGTGCAAAAAGGGCCTAAGGATGTGGGGTGTCAGCAAGCTCCATGAGTCAACAGTGTGAAATGGCTGTCCACAAGCAGATCAGTCAGGCAAAAATTGTCCAAGTTCATCCTTGATTGTGACATCCAGAAATGAGCATCACTTTCTAATATTGGTATGGCCATTGGGAGGTAGACGGACACAACACAATGCCCTTGTTTGGAAATCATGGGGAGCAACTGCTTCACTAGACTCTGGGTCAGTCAGACCCCATTTGATAGAATGTGCCGTATATTAGGGCATCATAATTTTTTTCGGGTATATAAAAGCACAGACAACAACGACAAAATCCACTCATGTTCTCACTCTTCCCTTAATAACTAAAATACAGATATAACTGAAACCTCCTACCTACCCTTTCCTGATCCCATTCACCTCCCTCTCTCCCCGAGGCAAAGTCTCTTGAATTAGGTGTTTATTAGTCCCATGCAGGTCTTTTTTTTTTTTTTTAACCACATATGAGTTTCCGTTAAAAAATAGAATGATCTTACATGTTTTGAAACTATAATAAGTGGCATCTTATTATATAGCACTGTTATAAGTGCTTTCCATGTATTAAACTCAATCAGTAGGTATGTTTCCCTGTGCACACATTCGGGAGTTTAGTGTGTGTATGTGTTTAATAAAGAGGACATTAAACAATAAAAAAAAGGCAGGTGACCAGTGTTATAGGAAGCAATGTTATAAGAGAAATGGTGGAAGAAGGGGGGATAGTTTGGCTTGGAACAAACATAGGTGGCAGAGCTCACAGAATGATGGATTAGAGCCAGAAGAGACCTTGGCGACCGTCTGGAGCCTGATTTGATGTATGAAGCCCCTCTCTAATGTCCCTGGTCTAATTATCTGAAGCTCTATTTATCCTGAGACGAGGATAGTTTCTATATAACTTCTGACCACAGGACCCAGTTCTGCCATCTGGAATGATAAGGAATCAGTTTAACCACACTTGCATAGCATTCTTGTTCAAACCCTGAACATAATTTCCACTACCCAGTCCCCCTCTGTCCAGATCTTCTCAAAGCTAAATATACGTAGCTTCCTCAATGATCCACCACATGACATGGTTTCCAAGAATCCTCACCACCTTGGTCATACACCAATTTGTCCAAGTTCATCCTTAACTGTGACATCCAGAAATGAACATAACTTTCTAATTTTGGTGTGGCCACTGTGAGGTAGACTGACACAACACAACTCCCTTGTTATGGACCCAACGGTCTTGTTCATGAGGCCTAAAAATCACAGTAGCTTTTTTTCCTTTGTCCTATCTTTGTGAATCCATACTGAGTTTACAGTTAAATACAAGCCCTTAAGTCTCTCTCATAGAACAATCATCATCGTTCTGTTAGTTGTAAAGGTAAAAGAAACCATTATAATATCTTTTTTCCTGATTTTGAGATTAATATATATCACTTTAAAAATCTGAAAATCGAAACCATGATTTTAAATATTTAATAGCTGTAGTTTCTTCATGTAGAAATGTCCATTTATTTAACCAGCCCCCTAATGTTAGACATTAAGATTGTTTTCAAAGAAATTGCTTCCTATTACCAATCATATTACCATAGATTCCTGCTACATAAACACAATCTAAATCTTCCCGCTATCGACAAGGCTCTCCATGATCTGGCCCCTAACTACCCCTCTGGCCTGACCTTGACTACTCTCTCCCACTTTTCAATACTCTCCAGCTACCTTGGCCTTTTCAGCTGTTCCTTGATAAACCAAACCCATTCTTGCCTGAGGTCTTTGCATTTGCTGTTCCCTTTTCCTGAAATGTTTTCCCTCTGGTTCTTTCCCTGACTTGCTCCTTTACTTTGCTGAGATCTTTTTGCTTAAGTATCTCCTCCTTGGAGAGGCCTCTCCCAAGCACTCTTTTAAAGAACTCTTTTCCTACCCCAGAATTTTCTATGATTTCACTGTATTTTCTGTTTATCTCTTATCATCATCTAAAAATTACTTTATTTGGGGGCACCTGGGTGGCTCAGTCAGTTAGGCATCTGCCTTCAGCTCAGGTCATGATCCCGGGGTCCTGGGATCGAGCCCCATGTTAGGCTCCCTGCCCAGCTGGGAGCCTGCTTCTCCCCCTGCTTGTGCTCTCTTGCTCTCTCTGTCAAATAAATAAATAAAATCTTTAAAAAAAATAAAATTATTTTGTTTGTTTTTCTGGTCATTGTGCTGTCTCTCTCCATAAGAATGTGTTTAGTTTCGGGGCGCCTGGGTGGCTCAGTTGGTTAAGCGACTGCCTTCGGCTCAGGTCATGATCCTGGAGTCCCGGGATCGAGTCCCGCATCGGGCTCCCTGCTCAGCGGGGAGTCTGCTTCTCCCTCTGACCCTCCTCCCTCTCATGCTCTCTGTCTCTCATTCTCTCTGTCTCAAATAAATAAATAAAAAACAATGTGTTTAGTTTCATAAGGCCAAGGATCTTACCTGTCTTGTTTGTTGTATCCTCAGCCCCTAGAAACAGAGCTTGATATATAGCTAGGTGCTCACAAAAGTTTTGTTGAATGAATACATCTTTTTACACACCAGTGACTATTTCCTTAGTATAAATTCCTATGTGTAAACTTACTGAGCCAAAGGACAGGAACATTTTTAAGATTTTTGATACATACTTTTTTAAAAAAGATTTTTATTTTTTATTTTATTTATTTATTTTTAGATTTTTATTTATTTATTTGACAGAGAGAGAGACACACAGCGAGAGAGGGAACACAAGCAGGGGGAGTGTGAGAGGGAGAAGCAGGCTTCCCGCTGAGCAGGGAGCCTGATGTGGGGCTCGATCCTAGGACCCTGGGACCATGACCCGAGCCGAAGGCAGACGCTTAATGACTGAGCCACCCAGGCACCCCAAAAGATTTTTATTTTTAAGTAATCTCTACACCCAACATGGGGCTTGAATTTACAACCCTGAGATCAAGAGTCACATGCTCTACCAACTGAGCCAGCCAGGTGCCCCAGATTTTTGATACATATTTTCAAGTTGCCTTCCAGAAGTACCCCAATTGACAGGAATGCCCACATTAGTCACCCTTGCCACTACTGGACATTATAATAAAAAAATCTTGCTTCTTTGAATACAGGACAAAAGACAAGAGTTCTGTGACATGTCCTAGAGACACCTTACCAAGATGACATTGATCCATTGACTGCGACAGCCTGGGTATGGTCCTCTGACATTTACAAATTCATCTAAATGCCTCCAAAACATTCTATTATCCTGTCGATGTGTCTCTATTTTATCTAAAGGGATAATAGAATGAGAGTGGTATCTGAAGGGCTGTCATAAGGAAGAACAATTAGACTTCTACACAGTCACCCCCCATTGGGATGATTTATAGCATAGTACATTTTGGCTCGACAAGGAACAACCTCCTAACAGTTAGTGGACTACAATGAGCTGCCCTATGAGACTGTGAGCTTCCCAGTACTAGAAGTTTTCAAGCAGGCAGAGGCTAGATAAACACCTGGTAGTGGTATTATGGAACAGTCATGACACACATGACAGATGTATTCATCACATGAATGCCATTTCACTAGCTTTAACTTCATCCTGTTCTCTTTCACACCCAGGACCCAGATCAGAATGTAAGAGAGGGAACATGACCTTGCCCTGGGCATGACCTCAAATATATATGTATGTGGTACACGGTGTGTGTGTGTGTGTGTGTTGTGTCACAATAGCTGGCAACCCACCAGCATGTCCCAAGACCACAGTTGAGAACCACTATAATAGAGGGATTCTTTATATAGAGTGGAAAGTAGAGCTGAAAGATCTCCGGGGTTCCTTTAAGCCAGTGGTTTTCAACCCTGGCTACACATAAGAAATCCCTGGGGAGCTTTTCAAAAAGGCTAGATCCCACCTCAGACCAATTAAATCAGAATATCTGGGGGTGGGGTCCCAGGCTCCCTATGTTGAAAAACTCCCTTGGGGATCCTAATGTGCAGCCAGGGCTGCGAACTATTGCTTTAGTCTAATTCTTCTGGCACTGATTTCAGTGTTACGCTGTGTCTGAGAATAAGATCTGGTAAAAACTTTAACATGAAGAATATCAGACCATGACTTGGGAAGAGCCACACATGCAGTCTCCCTTGGATTCAGCTACCTCTGCCTTTTGTAACTCCTATATCTATATATGCCCCAACTGACCAATGTTGGCCCATAGGTAGGGGCATCTCTACGCCCCTATTCAGCAGGAAGAAGTTACAGAAGATGAGACCTTCACCCTCAACAACTTTAAAGATTTAAGGGTCAAAACTGTTAGAGGGGGATGATGTGGGAAACAAAGGCAGAAGAAAAATTATTAAATTTCCTTACTACCTACAGCCCACTTACAAGTCCTTGAAACAGGCAGAGTGATCTTCCTCTAGGGACTCAACTGTCTCGATGCTGACACTTTGCTAAGGGCAAAAGGCCATCCTAGCCTGAGCACCCCCTGCCCCGATCCTGTAAGTCTACTTTAACATATAAAGAAGTTTAGAAATCTCCTTTTTCTCTAAACCCCTCAAGATACAGGTTAGCAATCATCTCCCAAGCATATGGCCCACCGAGATACATCTGAAGGGTCTCATGACTGAGGTTTTATCAGACGGTAATAAATGACCTTTTCCCAACAATAGCTAGCCCCCTTAAGGTCCCGGAAACCTGGCTTCCAAAATTCCTTAGAGACTTATGCTATCCCTAACCCCCTCCCAACTTGAAAATATATAATGGGCCACTCCTCGTGACCCCATTGCAGCTCTTTCTGCCCAAGGGTCCTGTCCCCGTGCTTTAATGAAATCACCTTTTTGCACCAACCCCACCCCCCCAAATAACCCAAAAATCAAAACAAAACAAAACAAAAACCCAGACTATGACAGGAGACCCAGGCTCTGGTCTTATATTTAATATTTGGTATGACCTTGGACAAGTCACTTCACTCAAGTTCCTCTCCATTCTTTCATCACCAAGGAAGAGATAAGAATTCCTGCTTCCTCTTTTCTGCCAAATTCTCATTCAAATGAGAATGTTTGTAAAATGCTTACAGTGCTTTAGTAACAATACCTGCATGATATTTTCTTCTTCACAAAGTGCTTTTGCATATATTCCTTCTTTTAACTACTCAGACACCATAAAACACCATATACAGGTAGTATTATTAAAACTCCTTAATTAATTAAAAAAAATTTATACAACTTTGACTGTTACTTTGACTCAGGATATTAGTGCTGGAAGGGACCTTGCACATCATTGATTCCAGTCTAATCCCATCATTGCATAGGTAAGGAATTCGAAGCCTAGGGAGATTAAGTGACCTGTTTCAGGTCATCCAACTTAGCCAGTGGCAAACTCAAGACTAGAATCCATGTCTACCTGGCTTCAAAGCTATTACTTTTACTATAGCACGTGGCCTGTCCCTCAGCATCTCCTTAGTACATATAGGAAACATGGTTGAGTGAGGAAGCCTACTTTTTCAGCATTAGCTCTAGCCGGGTCATTAGTCTGGTGACTGCTGCAGTCTCCTTTAAAGCCATCTAGTGATAACGCCAGCCCATTTCAGCTGGGTTGGAACTACAGATAGGATGGCCTTCGTGCAAAGCATTAAGGTCTCCAGCTAATGTGTCTACGAGCAGCCTGATCAGAGAGCAGATAGCTCTCTGCTATACATAATACATAGCATCCATGTACTTTGAGGTTGCTAAAAGGAAGAAACTAGATCCTGTGCCTGTTCCCCTAATGCCCAGTTATATTCTCTTCTCAAGTTATTAAATCAGGGAAAAGCCTAGAAAAGAATAATCTCTCACGGTTTTAGACATAGATTTTATCACTGATAGCAAATACATACTTGCAATTTTTACTAGATTCCTCTATTTCCCTTTTATACGTGGAGCAACATTGCTATGATACACACAGTAAGCTTGCTTCGAGCACAAGTAAACACATATTTGCTTCACATTTGGACCCGTCTTCCCAGGGGTTTTAGGTCCCCTACCATTTGTTTCTGTGTGTACTTCTCAACTCCGCTTCCTATTACTTAGCTGACCCTCGTATCTACATTCAGCTCATGCTCTCTACTTGGGTCATAGTAGAGTCCGTAAACGTTTGTTGAATAACTGAATGAAAGTCAGACATGTTCTGCCCCATTTTCTGTAAGTGTCCCAACCCCCTGTCCTCTACAACTAAGTCTTTGCGATATGCTATTCAGTGTGCCAGCAACGGCCTCCCACTCGCTTCCAAGACCGTATTTCCCTTTCCGTCTCATGATGCAGTAATAGTCGTCTCTTTTATGGTATCTTCCTAAATTATATCTTCTTGGTTTGGCCTTATAGTCACTCTTAAAAATCCCTCAGTCCGTCTCCCTGAGATGAATATGCTGAGGTTCTTTGGTATGCTTCTATTTCTTTGCCTGGTTTTCCCACTAGATTATAAGCTCTCTGAGGCTAAGGATGAGCTCTTACTCCCACTAAGAGCATGTGATATGTCGCATCCTGATGACTCTTTCCAAATGATTTAATGCCACCATGACTAGCTATTCCTCACAACTTGCTTCGCTCCGGTGTTGTGGCCTTCTAAGGCTCAGTCCCCTATGTGGTGCTCAAGCAGCTAACGAAATTGAGTTAACCTTCCAGGAAGCCGGCTAGGATCCTTTATGAACTGTCCTCCTTCAGTGGAATGTGGCCACAGGGCACAGTTGGGGTAGTGGTGAACTCTAGTGCCTGGGAAGTTAATGTTTCAACATAAAACATCTAGGTTTGATAATTACATAGGACTATCATTGTGGAAGTAAATAAAGCATGCCTCAAAGTCACTCTGTTCCTAACTAAACTTAACGTGGTGTGTTGGATCTTAATTATTAGCCCTTTCTGTAATTCCTATTGCCCCTTAGCCTAGGGAGCAAAATTACTCTATGAGGCAAGGAAGATAAAGTTCCCACTTAGCTTCTGGTCTGCAATTTTTACTGATAGAACCATGACATGGTAGAAACAAACTGGACTTGGAGTCAGAATATTTGGTTTCAAGTCCTGACTGTTCTTGGTTTTATGACCTTGAGCAAGGTCATTTCCCTCCTGTGGGTCTCAAATCCATCTGTAAAATGCAAACAATAAATACCTCACTGGATTTTTTTTTGTGTGTGTGTGATGAGAAAAGGAGATAACCTATATGAGAATGGTTTATAAACTGCAAAGTACTATGAAAATATGAAGGATTATTATGATCGCTTTGGAACCAGCCTCAATGAAATGGTACAGAATACTACCACCCGTTCAGACCTCGTAAGAACCTAAAAACACAAAGAGAGCCATCTTGTGCACTCAGGCAGCCTTCTCTGCTAGCCCCAGGTTTCACACAGAGCTGGCCCAACAAGGACTCCTCGGTAGAGCCAATGCCTTTGAAAGGGACCCAGGGGCTCAGGTGCAGGGCATGGGGCCAGCAAATCCCCACTGGCAGTGAAGACCAAGGACTAGAACCCCTGACAGAGATGAGAGCTGCCTCCTACCCCTTGGATGTTCTTCTTGGACACCTTAACTAATTTTGTTGGCTTCCATTCCTCATCATCCCCATCATCGTCATCATCATCAGCACTGTCCTCAGGCTCATTCACAGAATGCTCTGAATAATATTTTAGATCCTCGATGTCCATGCTTTGCTCCAGGAACTTTTCTTTAAAACGGGAAGGTTTCGGCTAAGAAGAAAGGTTTGGAATGATCAGTTAATAAAATTTTAAAAACACACGTAGATCAAATCTTCCCAGTAGCTGCTGCCAGCTATCTTCTCAGAGCCGAGATTTCAGACTCCCTCAAATACAGCCCCTTGGCTTTCCCAGTCAGAATTAATTCTGCTGTAGCCTTTGGCCTTACAGAGTCTTTGAAGGGATGGAAACTGAAGGGGTAGAGGCTGAGCAATCTGAGGGAGGAAAGAAGGACTCATGATATGATGAGATAAGTATCTTTGGATGGACAGCTGAACACTGCTCTTTCCTCCTGCTCCCCCTCCGTTGTTACATAATGCCTCTACATGGCCAAAAGTCAGCCTTCTGGGGAGGGAGAATGCCTATTTTCCTCAAGAGTGGACTGTAGTTTTATTTGGGACTCCAGGGCAAACGGAGATGCTGGAATTTGGGATTTTTTAAAGATTTTATTTTTAAGTAAGCTCTGCACTCAATGTGAGGCTCGAACTCACAACCCTGAGATCAAGAGTCACATGCTCTACTGACTGAGCCAGCCGGGCGCCCTGGGGTTTGGGGTTTTTCACTCTCAACCTCTTCTGAAAGACGAATCTAGCACACTCACCCCCAACCATGGCCACACGAAGGTATGACCAGCACTGAGCAGTTTACCTTAGGTGGGATATATTCGAAAGAAGAGTCTGGAGATAGAAGGGTATCCTTAGGAAGAGGAGGTTTCTGTCTGCTGGCTACCTGGAGGAGGGTCAGTTTCTGTTTGAAAAGAGAATGCACAGTGTATACTGCAGGGCAGCTTCCGGGAGCGTTAATGGCTAAAACATAAGGATTCCTAAGTTAGCCGCATTGAAACCATAGTAAAGCAGGCTGGAGGACTCTCACTTTAGAAGATCAGTATTGGATTCAGAAAAGAGCCGATTAAAATATGTGTGTTTATACCATTTTGAAATGCACATGACCATATCATACGGAAAGTCGCTATAGACCTCAAAAATAGAGCCGACTCCTCAAACTCGGGGCTGTTCCCAAGAGCTGCCCTCAGTTGCAACAGGGTCTCCCAGGGCTTATTAGAAGTGGGTGGGAAGCCCTGTTACCTGCTTGATGATTTCATTCTCTCGGAGAAGCTGCTGATTTTGCTCACACACTTCTCGCATCTTCTCAAGTTCTTCATCCTATTTCCAGATAGCGCAGTGATAGGTGGGGTTATTTTCGGCACTACATGTGGGTTACCAAACAACTCACATAGATGAAAACACAGAGTTGCCAAGTTGCTGGAGCAGATGGTTTTTGCACAGCAGGCACCGGCGCCCAGAAAAATGCCTGATTCCCACCAGTGCCGAGGTGTCCCGAATGCCACTTCTAGTCCAACGCTCCCAAGCGGTCCTGACCGCACTCAGAGGAGCCATGCGCTCTGCCCTAAATGCTCTCCTTATTCTCTTCTATTCTCAAGCCTTACGTCCCTTACACATTCACATCAGGATGCTGATTAAGAGACCCACATGGACGGTTAGCTTTGTTTCTTTCAAGTCTACAGATGCTTTTGTTTACCCTTCTAAACACGGACTAGGCAGTTTATTTGCTACTCTAATAACCCTGATTAAACTTCCTGGCACTTAAGACAACCAGATTCACAATTCGTGCATACGACTTTAACTAGTTTGGTTATGTCTTTGATGGGAGGTGCCAAGGAAACCCTAGAGACTTGTGCTTCAGAAAAAAAAAAAAGGATTCTAAGTTGGACAAAATAGTGTTCCAACATGCTGCTAAGGGGTGTGGTGTTCCCAGGCTCTGGGAGATATTCAGACCCCAGGCACTTTACAAACATGTCAGGTCTCAGCTCAGAACAGGCTCAAAAAGAGAAAGCTGAATGCCCTTAGGATTCTATGGGATGACTGAACTTTCTCAACCCTTTTGGAGCTCAGGGCTGAGGCAAGGAACCAGGAGGCCTCAAAGTCTGGTGTGGAGTACGTAATGTCATTTCCGTACCAAAAAGGAGGTTATGCTATGCATGGTTACATTCTAAACACCCCTAAATTGATCAAATAGGGCCCAAAGGCCATAGAGGTTACTATTATAAACCCCTTTTCAGTAGTTACTCTCTGCTGCAAGTACAATGGTGTAAATCAGCCAGGATTCGCAGCCGGGCTTGCGGACCCCATCTCTAGAGACCCTCGCCCCATTATCATACCTGGCACTTGAGTATGCTCAGCAGCTGCTGCTCCTTCTCACTCACTGACTCCTCTAGCTGCTTCTCTGCCATTTGGCTTTGCTGCAGCTGGCTGAGAAGGTAGAGCACCTAGAGAAAGACAAGGCCCAATGGGACCAACAGCATGACAGGAGAAAGGAATTCCGGCTTAGTCCAAGTGGTGACCCAGAGGAGTCCTCTGACTTAGAGGTCCCTGTTATCTTTCCTTCTCATGGCTTGAAGCAGTAAGCGCAGCCTCGATGTTAATCTTGGTATCAAAGTTGGAGGCTAAGAGCCACCGTGTGTGTCAGCTTCGACAAGTAATTTCTCTCTTTCGGGTTCCTCGTTTGCAAAATTTGGAAAAGACGACTACACAGGCCTTTGAAGGCAACTTCATACCCTACCCCTCACTGTCTTTTCAAAACTAACAACAAAAATGACCCTCTGTTTCTCAGTATAGCTTCTGGGCTTCCCAGAGCTTACCTTCTCTTGGTGCTGCTGTTCCACCCTGACCAGCTCTGCCTGTAACTCGGTCTCGATTTCGGCAAAATGATTTCGTTCCTCAAACAGCATCTTCTGCATGTCAGCGCAGCTGGCTTTGTTCTGTTTCAGGCTGCTTTCAAGCTTGCTGACCTGTATTTTGGAGGAGACCAGCTGGAAGGGATAAAAGAAGATGAGTTTATTTGGAGAATGGCCACCTTTCCCCATTCATTCGGCAGGAGAATGTCAGCTTTCCTGAAACGGACTGAGAAAAGTTCCTCTATGTCCAGAGTCCATTTTTTTCCTATGTCACATGGATTCTACCAGTGAATAGGAACAACGCCACCCAGGCCAAGAGTCCATATTTCTGTTGAAATCGAGCTCTTTGAGCTAGGAGCCATGGCTAAGGTCATTCAATCTCTTGCTCTGTCTCCGGGCAAGAATGAACTGAACACAAACAGTATCTGACAACTCCAAAATCTGATATTTAAGACTTTCTTCCTTCATTCTGAAGAGGAATCCATAGGACACACCCTTATGGCCAATTAGGTCCCATGTCAGAACGTCTGAATTCGCGTGTTGAAACTAGTAGACACGTTAGCTGGTGCTGTAGGTCTGGCTCTTCAGGCTAGACTGATATCCTATGCTGGCCTGGTTTTATAGTCTCTACTAGCCCACACGGGGAACATCATAAATACCAGTGTTCACAAGACTAATCAGGATTTCTTACTTGGTAGGACGAATCTGCTAACCCCATCCAAAAACATATAAAGGATAACATTGCTCAAACTTCCAGAGTTGGAGTTTGTATGCTTGTCTCAAAGTGAAGATGCCTCAGTGACAACGTAAGATGATATATTATTATTATTATTTTTTAAAGATTTTATTTATTTATTTGACAGAGAGACAGCAAGAGAGGGAATACAAGCAGGGGGAGTGGGAGAGGGAGAAGCAGGCTTCCCGCAGAGCGGGGAGCCCGATGCGGGGCTCGATCCCAGGATCCTGGGATCATGACCTAAGCCGAAGGCAGACGCTTAACGACTGAGCCACCTGCGTGCCCCGATATATTATTTTAAAGCCAGTGAAGATGTACTTTCCTTAAGATGAATATATGTGAAAAGATGATTAGGTTTCCTCTTTTCTAGATTGTACCTTAAACTTTTTGAATACACATCTCATAGGTGTTTTTTTCTTTTTTTTTTAAAGATTTTATTTATTTATTTGAGAGCGAGAATGAGAGATAGAGAGAGCATGAGAGGGGGGAGGGTCAGAGGGAGAAGCCGACTCCCTGCTGAGCAGGGAGCCCGATGTGGGACTCGATCCTGGGACTTCAGGATCATGACCTGAGCCGAAGGCAGTCGCTTAACCAACTGAGCCACCCAGGGGTCCCTCTCATAGGTGTTTTAAAAAGTAGTGCAGTATACGCAGAGCGGACACCCAGGACTCCAAGATGGCGTCAGTCGTACCAGTGAAGGAGAAGAAGCTCATGGATGTGAAACTGGGAGAGCTGCCCAGCTGGATACTGATGCGGGATTTCACCCCTAAGGGCATTGCTGGAGCATTTCAAAGAGGTTACTACCGATATTACAAGTATGTCAATGTGAAGAAAGGGGGCGTTGCTGGGATTTCTATGGTGCTGGTAGCTTATGTGCTTTTCAACTACTGTCGTTGTTAAAAGGAACTCAAACACGAGCGGCTACGCAAGTACCACTGAAGAGGGCCCAGTGTGGAGGCACATTCGGCATTCCTGACCATGACCTTTGCCTGGCACCCTTGAATCCTTTCATATTCTAATTCAGAATTAACATCCAATAAAAGATGACTGGTACTTGGAAAAAAAAAAAAAGTAGTGCAGTATAATAGTTTATGTTTAACCAGTGGCCTACTATGGCATCCTGATTATTTTCCCAATAATAATAGCAGACATTTATCGAGCACTTGCTGTACGCCAGGCACGACAGGTATCAACTTGCAAGTCATATATTTTTCTATGTGACTGGCCTGTACTTGTTCACCCCAACCTTTCCCCATAAAACTCTCTAATACTAGTGTCATTGCGGCTTCTACCGTGAAAAGTGGCAATAACACTACGACGGTATTCCCGGCTAACATCTTATTTCAACCTATCCAGCCAGACCTCTAATTGCTGGTAGGAATAGTGATGCTTACCTCTCCAATTAAATATTTCAGGGCACACTTGGCTTCCAGGATGGTAGCAATATTCTCCCAGCGGTGTTTTGGCCTGTCTTCACTTTCTGCATCCAGCAGCTTTTGCTGTAGGTCAGCAATCTGAGCACTCCTTCAAGGAAAGAAACAGTGAGACTTACTGCTAGCATCCTCAACACCAAGGAGGAGAGCTCTGTGGGGCTCTTCAGCTAGGTTTATGGATGGAGGTATAGGTGAAATAGCATTTAAATAATGACTGAATCGGGGTGCCTGGGTGTCTCAGTCAGTTAAGCATCTGCCTTCAGCTCAGGTCATGATCCCAGGGTCCTGGGATCGAGCCCCACTTCGGGCTCCCTGCTCGGTGGGAGGCCTGCTTCTCCCTCTCCCACTCCCCCTGCTTGTGTTCCCTCTCTCGCTGTGTCTCTCTCTGTCAAATAAAAAAATCTTAAAAAAAAAATAATGACTGAATCATCTGGCTAGGATTTTATACAGTATCTCAAATCCTGACGCAAAAGGAACCTGAGAGACTATCCAAATGGTTTTATTTTATTAAATACTGGTTGCAATAAATGGGTCATATAGTGGGACTTGGAAAGATTTGTTTTAGTAGGGCTTCTGTTGCAGTGCATTGACTGCAATGTGACTTTGTCTTGAGGCCATGTAAGTTCAGAGTGTGATACAGTGGCTCAACTATGCAAGGAGAAGAGTCAGGTTGGAGACCTGAAGGAAAAAAATTCTCAAATGTACAAGCACTGGGGCACCTGGGGGGCTCAGTTGGTTAAGTGTCTGCCTTCGGCTCAGGTCATGATCCCAGGGTCCTGGGATGGAGCCCCGTGTCGGGCTCCCTGCTCAGCGGGGAGTCTGCTTCTCCCTCTGCCTCTGCCCCTGCTCGTGCTTTCCCTCTTTCTCTCTCTCAAATGAATAAAATGAAATCTTTAAAAAAACAAATAAAAAAAGGACAAACAGGTAGATGTTCTTTGCTGGAACCAAATACCAAATTGAGACCGATGGCTAGTGCTGTGAGAGGTTATCTTGAAGTGCCTACCACAGAAGTTTCTTTTTTTTTTTTTTTAAAGATTTTATTTATTTATTTGACAGAGAGAGAGAGGCAGCGAGAGAGGGAACACAAGCAAGGGGAGTGTGAGAGGGAGAAGCAGGCTTCCCGCGGAGCAGGGAGCCCGATGCGGGGCTCGATCCCAGGACCCTGGGATCATGACCTGAGCCGAAGGCAGACGCTTAACGACTGAGCCACCCAGGCGCCCCAGAACAGAGAAGTTTCTGAGAAGACTAGATACCCTGACCCCGGTTATAGCTTACAGATGCTTTCTGATCAAGTATGGCCTGAGAGCAAGGTTTACATAGTATTTCAGTTTCATTAACAGCTTCCTTCTCAAATTTGCAATGTATCCAGTGAGAGGTAGTATGCTAGCCTATGTGAAACAGACTGCTATGTAGGGTACTATAAAAGAAGATGGGGACCAAAATAATCTAAGATAGCAGTTCTCAAATCTTAGAGTTTCAGAACCCCTCTACACTCTTAAAAATGATTGAGGACCTCTGAGAAATTCTGTTCATATATATTACAGTATTGAAGGTAAAACTGAGAAAAAATTAAACATTCATTAATTCACTTAAAATAACAATAATCCATTGTAATATATTTTATGAAAAATACATTTTCTAAAACAACAAAATAATTTAATGAGAAGAGTGGGACTCTGTCACAGTTTTACGAATCTCTGTAATATCTGACTGTGTAGAAGACAGCTGGATTCTCACATCTCCCTCTGCAATCAGTCTTTTGTGACATGTTCTGGTTGATGTTAATAAAGACAATCTGGCCTCCCAGGGATATGTAGTTGGACCAAGGAGGAGCATTTTAATAGCCTATTCAGATAACTGTGGATATTCTTCTTTGAGACCACACTAAAACCCAACAAGTGGTAGTTCCTTAAAAATTAGTTGAAATGTGGCATCTGAAACCACTGCTAAGTAAACTTCTCTTACTTTCTTATATTAAAATCCGTTGGTCTATCTTGTAATCTGAATGGCTCTTTTATCCACACATGATTCTGTAACATATCATTTGTACAATGTTGAGTGATGCAAAGTCTCCAAATGTTAACACATTTCATTATATAATATAAAAAAAATAAACAACTCTTAGTAATCACCACTGGTCTCCTCGGAAAAGTTAAGAAAAACTGTCAAGCCCTTGGGGGCAGATAAAAGTTTTCCAGAATTCTAAGTTTTGCTTGAAAGCTCAATTCTATCTTTAGTGACAAATACTACCAGTTGTTTTTCTTGAAGTGACAAGCTCACTCTGTTCACTTTTGAGAAAATGCCTGCCAAGTACTCAAGCCTGAATAACCATAGTTCATCAGTGCTTCTTCCGAATACAACGGATGTTCCATGGAAAAAGAGGCCTATTGAGCTCACACCTCCAACAATCGCACAAGTGCTTTTCCTCTGGACAACCCTCAGACTTGAGCAAAACAGCACAAGTGCTCTGCGTGTTCTTCCTGTCCCGTCACAGAGAATACTAAATAGATTTGAACTCAAGGGTTGAAATTTAATAAAATTAACAATTTGTACTGCTTTATCAAAGCCATTCTTTTTTTTTTTTTTTAAAGTAGGCGCTATGCCCAATGTGGGGCTTGAACTCAAGACCCCGAAATCAAGAGTTGCATGTTCTACCAACTGAGCCAGCCAAGCGTCCCTATCAAAGCCATTCTTAGGTAAAAGTGATTTAAAGAAACAAACAAACAACTGAGAGTGTGTGGTGGTGAAGTATACAATGACCACTAGCACAGACTGGTGCCCACTGCTTTAATTCAAGCTATGGTATGAACATTTTTTGTCCACTGTTGCTTGGCACCATCATGGCAAATGTCGATGGAGTAAAAACGGCAAATGAAGTCTTCATATTATAAAAATCATTTTAATTGCTCAGAGACCCCCAGGGGTTGCAGACAATACCCCGAGAACTCTGGCCTAATATATAGTCCTTTCCTCCAACAAGCTTATGATCAATTTATATTGACAAGACTAATAAATGTAAAAAATTAATAAATATAAAGATAATATACATCCACTGTACCACATACATGATTGACTACTGTAAGTTCTGACAGGGTTTAGAGAGGAGGATGAGTGGGGGATGAAGTGTCAGGGAAGGCTTCTTCGAAGAGGTAAGCTAGAACACTTCATGATTGTTGTCTGTCATATGGCCTTTCCTGTCTCCTCTGATAATTCATGTCCCTTAGGTATTTTTAAAATTTAGTTTATGTCTCAGGATGCCTGGGTGGCTCAGTTGGTTGGGCGTCTGCCTTCGGCCCGGATCGTGATCCCGGAGTCCTGGGATCGAGTCCTGCGTCAGGCTCCTTGCTCAGGGGGGAGCCTGCTGCTCCCCCTGCTTGTGCGCGTTCTCTCTCTCTGACAAATAAATAAATAAAATTAAAAAAAAAATTCAGTTTATGTCTCATCAACTTTAGGGAAATTGCCTTGATTAAACTCACTTCTGTTTAATTGCTCTCTACTTGGCACCTGCCTAACATTTAATCATTTAATTATGCACAGTGGTGTGCAGGTGAATGTTTCACAACCAGCACTTAAAAAACCAGACCCGATTTGTAATTTTGCTATTTCTGTGGTATAAATGTGGTAAGCTATCAAGGGTTCACAACATTCCTGCAATTTTAACAAATGATTCCAACACACCACTGTGGCATTATACTATTTCCACTTGAGAGCAAGGGTGATGCCACCTACTTTCTATATATCCCAACTGCATGCATCCAGTGCAGCATAAAGCAGACACTCAAATGTTGGGTGACTTATAGACGTATCCAAAGATAAACAGCTAGTACGTGTTGCTAGAAAAAAATTTAAATGATCATTAAGGTCTTCTGGGCAATACAATTCTATTATCCTAAGACACTATAAAATCTCTGTGAAAGTTCGATTCCTTCTAGATTTCACAGATACTTAGAAGACAGTAATAGTGATTAGAGCAGCATAATTTCTGGTCTTAGAGCCAGAAAAGGAGAAAGAGAGAATGTTCACTGAGCACTTCTAATATGCCAAGTATTTGCTATGTGCTTTACGTACTAATCTAATACTCATGATAACTTTACTTATACATTATTATATCTACTTTGCTGATGATCCCTAACGTTCTCTTCCTTCTGTACTGTTGCTCTTCTGCCATCAGTTCTTGATTTCCTCTAAAGTTTTGTTTTTAGCCAATTCTACATTTCAGAGATACTAACATGTGGTGCAACATAAAGAGCATGGGCTTTGGAATTAGATAGACCAGGTTTTTTTTTTTTTTTAAGATTTTATTTATTTATTAGAGAGAAAGAAAGCACAAGCAAGGGGAGTGGCAGGCAGAGGGAAAGGGAGAAGCAGGCTTCC